TGACGAGAAAAGTAGTTTACAACTAAAACCCCTAGCCGAACAAGCGAACAAATACGTGTAATGTGAAACTTCTTCCCAATAGTGTTGTGACATGTCAATACAATGACACTAACGAATGACGTGTCGTCCGATAATTAGTCCACGTCAAAACCAACCATATTATCTCGTTTTTAACTCGACCGCAGAAACCAATGAATTCAACGAGTACATAGAGGAACACACACTCGGGCTCACCCTCTCAGTTCGCAGCTCTACCTTTTTCTCTCTTCCATGAGGTCGGCCATGGCGATTAACAAACGATCCCCCAATTTTGTCTATCTGATTCTCCTCTCTCTCGTCGCCATAGCCTCTGCTGAGGTTTTCTTCGAAGAGCGCTTCGAAGGTGAACCCTTTCATTACTTATTTCTCTTATCTTTTCTTTTCTAGATTTGTCCGTGGTATCCGAACCTTTAGATCTGCTTGTTTTTTTGTCACTTGAATATGTTTTCTAGATGTTTTGGTTTTCAACCTGATCTAATTTTTCCGGATCGGTGATTTTTATGCTTCATTTGGCAATCGAGTTGTTTTTATTTGTTTATTTACTCAAATGCTTGATTACGTTTAGAAATGCAATTCGATTGAATAGATCAGCTGATAATCTGATTTTTAAAGTTAGTTCTGCATTTTTCCCATAATAAATCTAGCGTTAGAGAAATGACAGTGGATGTTGCAGTCTCTGATGTTTCAATCGATCAGCTTAAAAACTAACTTTTTTAGCAATGTGAGAGGGAAATAGTTAAAAGTTATAATCCTTTTTAGCCGCATCTATAGATATCATATCAGAGTAAAGCAAAATGTGTACCTATTTAGCGTACTTTGCTTGTTACAGTCATTAGGTTCTGTATTCATTTTAACAAATGAGGGAAAACATATGAAATGGAAGCCGTGTTTGCTTTAATTATACTTATATTTTCTCTGTTTTCAGACAGCTTTGATTGCAAACTTTTTGGCTTATTTGTTTTTCTATTGTTTGAAACTTTAGATGGATGGGAAAGTCGGTGGGTAAAATCTGACTGGAAGAAAGATGAGAACATGGCTGGGGAATGGAACTACACTTCTGGAAAATGGAATGGAGATCCTAATGACAAAGGTAACCTTCTGGAAGACTTGAATCACTCATAACTTGGTGTAGATAAAGACTATTTTTGAAGTTAATTACTTATGGCTCTGCATCTGTACAGGTATTCAAACCAGTGAAGACTACCGGTTCTATGCCATTTCAGCTGAGTTCCCTGAAGTTAACAACAAGGGCAAGACTCTAGTCTTCCAATTTTCTGTGAAGCATGAACAAAAGCTTGACTGTGGTGGTGGCTACATGAAGTTGCTCAGTGGTGACGTTGACCAGAAGAAATTTGGTGGTGATACCCCATACAGGTTTATTCATGCCCTGTGATCTAACCTATTCATATCTCTAATAGATATTATTGTTAGATTTACTGACTTTTTTTCTTATGTTGGCTGCAGCATCATGTTTGGGCCTGATATCTGTGGCTACAGCACCAAGAAAGTACATGCTATTCTTACCTACAACGGGACAAACCACTTGATCAAAAAGGAAGTTACTTGTGAGACTGACCAACTCACTCATGTTTACACATTCATTCTTCGTCCGGATGCTACCTACATCATCCTTATTGACAATGTCGAGAAACAAACTGGTAGCTTGTACTCTGATTGGGATCTTCTCCCACCAAAGAAGATCAAGGATCCTGAGGCCAAGAAGGTTCTTTGTCATACCATATCCCAATTGTTATTATCTTTTTTGGTTTGCTTTTTTCTTCATATGGAGTACAACTTGAATACTTTTGCATGATTGGCAGCCTGAAGATTGGGATGACAAGGAATACATCTCTGATCCTGAAGACAAAAAGCCAGAGGTAATAAACATTCTCTTATGATACATTATATGTACTGCCTGAAGATGAATAGGCAACTAACCTCTAGTGTTTTGGTACCATAGGGTTATGATGACATTCCCAAAGAAATTACTGATCCCGATGCTAAGAAGGTAGTTATTTATTTCATTTTAGAATGCTATTATCATTACATAGTATACCTTGTTTGAACTAAAATTTATTGATTAAAATCATTTACCCCAGCCTGAAGATTGGGATGATGAGGAAGATGGTGAATGGACAGCCCCAACAATTCCCAACCCTGAGTACAAGGGCCCATGGAAGCAAAAGGTTTGTGAGATCCTTACCTAATTGCAACTTATATTATGGCTTTTGAACTAGCAACTTATAACAATTCTTCCTCTGTTTTCAGAAAATCAAGAACCCTAACTACAAGGGCAAGTGGAAGGCACCAATGATTGACAATCCAGGTCTTTTGTTTGCTCCCTTCTGTTGTGCCTTCTTTCTTTTTCTATTTAACGACAAATTGTTTGTTTATTTATTCCTATGCTCTTCTATGGTCCATAGATTTCAAGGATGACCCAGATCTCTATGTTTTCCCTAACTTGAAGTATGTTGGTATTGAGTTGTGGCAGGTACTCTTTTGTCTACTCCTATCCTTTTATCACTGTGACTTATTTTAGAACCATACAACGAGATAAATGTTTGTTTTTTGTCAGGTGAAATCTGGAACAATGTTTGATAACATCTTAGTTGCCGATGATGTAGAGTATGCCAAGAAACTAGCTGAAGAAACATGGGGCAAGCAGAAGGATGTATGTGAATCTTTGTATTTTGTGGTCTCATAATTCTGTTTTGTCCTATTTGGCTGATGTAATTATCTTTTGCAGGCTGAGAAGGCAGCATTTGAGGAGGCAGAGAAAAAGAAAGAGGACGAGGTATTCTTGACTAGTGAAACATCTAATTTCAGTATTTCTTGTAATTACTGTTTTTCCTTTATAACTAACGGAAACATGATCTTCAGGAATCAAAGGATGACCCTGTTGATTCCGATGTAAGTATGCTACATCCATTTTCAAAAATACGACTGCTCTATTTGCCGTCGTCTTGGTTTTTCTTATTGTGTGTTACCTCTTTCCCCAGGCCGAGGACGAAGAGGATGATGTCGATGACGCTGAAGGACACGAGTCTGATTCTGATACTAAATCAGACGACGAGGAGGCAAAGGAAGATGCACACGTGAGTAGTTATTCTGATGTCAGGACTTAACTAATGAATTTTTAACATGTTTATTGATTAATGATTGTGCTTTGTATGCAGGATGAGCTGTAGGGCAATGGTCAGTGCAATATTTCGCTGACAATTTGGTTCAGAGATAAAACGCCCTTTGCACTCTTAAATATTCCAGTACCCCCAAGAGAATCGTAGTTTTAGGAGTTTCCTGTTAGAGGAAAAAGGAATTGAATGCTTCGTGCAAATGAACTTTGACTGATGCTTCCTAAATATGATTGCTTTTTTTTTACCCCTTTTATGATATCCGGTAGTTCGAATTTAGTCAATGCATGTCTCCGAAGATTGCTTATTAAAAGATTTTGATTTGATGGGGAAAATATCAGAAACTTTTAGGTCTTTATTATTTCTATTATATTAACGTTCGAAGTCAAGAATCACTTATGAGAGAGTAGTAATTAGATTGAATTAATATCGTTTAATGAAGTTGAGAGGAATGAAAATGTCCTTGACGACAAAGGCTGCAACCTTTTTGGAACACGTCACTGCCCACTGGCCACCCACTCTGACCCAGTGAGGGTAATTCATGTGATTCTTATTACTCTTATTATTCCGTTGCTAAAAACACCCAAAAGTTGCTCCCATCCCCTTTGCCACTTGTCTTTTGGAATCTGGATAAAACTCAAGCTATTGATTTTTTAAGTATTATGTTATAAATATTTTTAATCAAATAAATGTTTAATTATTTTTAAAATTATTAGTGTTTAAACACATAACTTATCGGAACAACTATGATTCCTTACGATTTTCAAGTCAATCAATGTCGACCAATCTTGTACCTTTCATGTCAATATCTACCAACGAACGGTCCCACTCCATACGATTTTCATTTAATTTTAAGCTTAATACAGAAACAGGTGTTTAAAGAATATTTTGAAAAAATGTTTTAGTGTTTAAAGAATTTTTTTTTGTTAAAATTAGGTGTAAAGTTTTTTTCGTTATATTTTTAGGTGTCTATCTTTAAAAAACATTAAGTGACACGTGTCACGTTTAGATTTTTTTTAAATAAAGTATTGTTTAAAAATATTTTTTTTTAAATATGGGCGTGTCACATATTACTTAACGGTTTTTTAACGATAAGTACCTAAAAGTGTAATGGATAAAACTTTAGGTACCTATTTTTAGTAAAAAATTCTTTAAGGATCAAAAGTTAATTTTGAGTTATTTTTATATTAAGCCTTAATTTTAAAGCTATTCATCTTAATCACCAACTACATTTTCAACACCACAATTGTTTATTAAAAAAAATTTAACCATACAAGCAACATATTAACATATGTAAACCTTATTTCAGAAAGCTAACACACAATGTACATTGATTTTGAAATCAAACCATATTTTTTCTGTTTAAATATTTTTGTGTATCTCTATTTATTTAAAATTAAATAAACTAAGTATTATCTTTATTTTTTTAATTAAATTACTAATTATGATTCAATTACATTATATAAAACTCTTTTAGGATCGTTGGATGAGGGATCAAAGGCTGAGATTAACTCATTATTTTTTCAGTGAATATATTCTCATTTTTACGTACTATTAATCTCAACTTTTGATTTATACTCATCCAACCTCATGAGCGTGTGAATTACAAAGATGAATCACTAAGGAACAAACAAAAACCGGAAGAGTTTTGTTTTGGATGTGGGTAGGTCATATATCATGTGTGATATGATTGCTTCAATAATTTAACGGGGAAAAAACAGTTTATCTCTGTAAAAACCGGAAACATTTGTTACCTTTTTATAAACTCAGGAATGGATCAATGATGGAAAGTTCTATTCTAAATCATTGATCTTTGCGACATTTATCAGAATGTTTTAATAAGTTCATAAAAAGGGTAGTTTTACAATTTCCCAGGGCCCTTAATTAGCTTGATTCAAAGCTCTAGCAAGGCCATTCATGGCACTATAACCCAAGCAGCCAAGCAAGCCTTGCCTGTAAGGCAAGAATGTCTTCTTCCTCATCTCTTCAGCTTGTGCACTATTTGCAGTGTAGAGCAACTCATGCGGCGATGGTGGAACCCTCCTTTTCCCTATCCCGTTCATCGGCTTCTTCTTCTTCGATTCACCACCTCCACTAGGTTTTGGCTTCTCTTCCTTTGCTAGAGAGAATGAAATCGTTGACCATAACTTATGATAATTATTGTTGCTGCTTCTTCCTTCACTCTTGCTCCTCAGAAAATCCTTCAAGAAAACCCATCTCTTTGAGCTTCTTCTCCCAGCTTTGATGCTGTAACCTTTATTGGCCCTTAAATCTTCTTCTTCTTCGTCGTCCTCGTGTTCGAGATCCAGCAATGGAGCCAAAACCTGAGGCCTTTCCAAATGAGTGGATAGCTTCATGGGTCTGATCTTTCCGTCAAAGAAAAACTCATCGGCCGAACGAATGGATCCTGTTCGACCCGGCCCCGACGGCTCGGAGAATTCGAAACCAGGAGAAGAGGGTTGGGTCGTCGATGAAAACACCACCATCGAAGAACCAAGTGATGATGATGCCATTGCGAAATGCATAGGGCTAGCCGGTGCACTGTAAAAGAAGCCGCCGTTGATGAACCCGGGTCTTGGTCCGAGCGCCCGTCCGGCGCTCGAAGGCGCACTGGCGAAGGGCGTAGAGCTGGTGCTTTCGTAGTAGCCTTCATGGAGAACTTGATGAGTGTGGACATTTGGGGTTCGGAATTCCATTTGTTTAGTCAGTGAAGAAGATGAGCAAAGTGAATGTGTTTAGGATTTGGCCATACATGTCACGCACAAATATTTACCGAACAAAATGTTTAAAATTTTGTTTCGTTTTAAAAACATAATAAATATATATATTCTACTCGCGTATAAATATTAATAAAACTAATCTAGACAAAATAAATTAATCTTAATTTACTTATTATATACCATTTAAAAATAAATTATATAAATAAACTACTGACATAATTATATATGCCACCAAAAGTCAAAAGTAACATCATATATATATCTTACTGATACTAATAATATATATGACTTCTAAAAAGATGTTCGAGAGACTCCTCACTGCTTGTCATTATTTCTATTATACCCTACGCATGAAAATCAACACGCGCTAAGTATAACTCAATGAAACAGTAATAAGTTAAGGCGAGATAAAACATGAAAATGTAATAAATATAACCAAAATAACTTCAATAAATTATTAAACTTACAAACCGACTTATTCAATCCAATATCTTCATCGTAACATGAAATTCATCTCATTTCATGATTTCACAAATATCATGACAAATAATAATATCTAATAAAATAATCATATCGTACTTTCTGATAACTTGACATAATTCATAACTTTCAAATTCATTTTCACAGCGCAATGCATATTTATAAGAACACAAGGTACGCGAGTAGAACATAAGGTGCGCACTAGGCACATCACAGTGTCAATCTTAACTAAAACATGTAATACACTTCAAGTGTTATCATAACATGAGCACGAACGATGTAGATCATTATGTACACAAATGTATCATAACTTAACTAATAACTGGAAAGTACTTAACTTAATAGCATGTCAAATGTACCTACGACTCTCAATACAACATACAATGAGCTTATCTATCATAATAGAATGATTAATTAATCAACGTTTGAGAATCATAAGCCTTCAAAATTTATCATCATAAAAATTATACTTGGACAGTTCATACCCTAAATCCTTCATAAAACTTATTAAAAATATCATGGAAATCATCCATAATTAAAAATTATAAATCATACTTGAAAATAAAATGAGGTTAACTTATCGCAAGTCGGCCTCAATCATAATAATTAAATAAATAAACTGAATTCTCCTTTGCATCACTACCGAACCTTTATATACTAATTCTTTACTCGCGTGCTTTGTCCTTTCCTTTCGGATCGTTCGGATCGCTAGGTTTATCGTAATCTGACAACATTATATAATAACATAAAATATTCAAATATATGTTAGTATCGAACTAACATAATCCAAATTTAATAATATACAAGTCTATAAAAATAAAACCGATGCTAAATCGATATCAATTAAATCATATTTCCACCATACTTGAATCTTCCCAAAATGATTATTCTATTCCACAAATACTTAATTTCATCACAATTCCTCCAACTTGTATCAACTTCATAATCAAGTCACAAATTTTAAATTCTTTATAGAATTCACCTTAACTTTTCCATTAAATTCATAATAGCCCTTCACTATTGTGACCTTGTCACATTAATTACATAAAATTTCCAACACCTTAATAAAATAGTTAAATCAACACTTAAACATTAAAAAGCTTGCAATTTCATCCCAAAGTTTCTTAATTTTTTTTGAATTCAACCTCCAATCTCTATAAACTTACAATTAAATCCCAACTTAATAATTAAACTAAAAAATCAACATGCTACAAAATTTCCAGAATTATTCTAATTTACTCAAATGGTACTTTCACATTTAAAAACTTGCAATCAAGTACCTATATTTTTAGGACCATTAGAATTCCACCCCTAAATTTTACCAAATTCGCAATTTGGTTCCAAACAACTTTGCAATTTAAATTTCCAGCATTCAAATACTAAAAATTAACATTGAACACCCCAAATATCACATTCTTGCAATAATATCCCACAATTCTCAAAACTTCTAAATTAGCCCTTTTTCTTTTTCAAGCTTCCAAATTGATCTCCTATTTACATAAAACACTTCTAATATCCATACAAGACCATAGGAATTATTTCAACATTCCCCCCCTAAATTTTCCTAAGGGTCGAACCCATATAGTGCTTTAGGACATGGTTTTCATTCAATTTCAAGCATAAATTCAACTCCCTCATATCAAATTCATGTTATTCTTACCATTACAACATAAAATTGAATCAAAATCCAATCAATCCCTAAAACCCTAAAGTGGTCAAATGCTTTAGATCACTCTACACTTGATTTTAAACATAATACATGCTTGAGGATTAATCTCCAACATCAAAAACACAATAATCTTTCATTAATTATGCAAACTCCATAAACCCTACATAACCCTAACTTTCAATCTCAACACATAAGCTTGTTCACCATGTAATACTTATATCAAATGATAGAGAATTTCTTGTAGATTAATTCTCTATTTCACAATTTAGTCCAAAAATCAATCATGTAAGCTTAAAAATCAAAAATAAAATACTTACCTAGAAGCAATGGTGGTTTCGGCCTTGAGCTTGGAGATGGCTGAAATTGTTCTAAATTGCTTGATCATTCTAGTATAAATTAACCTTAACATATGACACTTTAATAATATAATTGAATTTAAAATTCAATTAATGAGAAATTCCAAAAATACCATTAATGAATCTTAAAAATTACCAATTGCAATTGCATTATCTTCCATTAAAATATTCCTTAGTCAAAGATGAACAAATTTTTACTTTGGTCATGCAACTTTCAAAAAGTGCATTTTAGTCGCTAAAATTTCCACTATTCAAATAAATCTGAAAAATTACACTAACCTGAGCTAAATTTATCTGATCTATAATATGGAAATAACATTTCCAATCATTCTCTAACCTCCTTCAAATTTTCGTAAAATTCCAGTTCGATATGATTATCCAATTTTTATACCTAACTTTAACGCTTTATAGCTTTTAAAATAAATCACGTACCAAAAATTTGATTACCATAAAAATCCTTATTTTAGGCCAAACGATTCATTTACAGGCTAAAAATATATAACTTTTCAAAATTACATTTTTAGTCCTTAAACTTTTCAAAGTTTATACTTTAGTCATTAAACTTTCAAAACTTATATTTTAGTTACTAGTCAAAATTTAGGGTATTACAATTATTCCTCCCCCCCTTAAATAAAATTCATCCTTGAATTTTCCATACGTGTTTACATACCTAGATTAAAAATATGAGGAAACTGTATTTTCATGTCTTCTTCTCGTTCCCAAGTCACTTCCTCAACTTTATGGTTCCACAAAAAAACTTTCACCAGTGCAATAGACTAATTCATGAGTTCTTTGACTTCATGAGCTAAAATATTTACTGGTTCTTCTTCATATAATAGATCCAACTGAATTTCAATTTCCTCCGGTGTAATGATATGCAAAGGATTCGATTGATACTTCCGAATCATCGATACATGAAACACATTATGAATCTTATACATCTCTTAAGGTAATGCCAACTGATAAGCTACCATACCAACTTTCTTAATAATCTCGTACAGGTTGATGAATTTTGGACTTAACTTCCCTTTGCGCCCGATTCTCAGAACCTTTTTCCATGGTGATACTTTCAGAAACACTTTATCGCCTTCTTGAGACTCAATCATTTTTTCTTTTCAAATCAACATGTGATTTTTTCTGTTAGCAGCTATCTTGAGATTATCTTGAATTAATTTCACTTTGTCCTCCACTTCCTTGATCAAATCTAGGCCAATTATATCTTGATCTTTTAATTCATACCAATTCAAGGGCGTTCGACATTTTCTTCCATATAAGGCTTCAAAAAGAGTCATTTTGATACTCGATTGATAATTATTGTTATAAGAAAATTTTGCCAAAGGCAAACACTTTTCCCACGATCTTTTAAAATCAATAACATACGCCCTTAGCATGTCTTCAAGTATTTGAATGGTTCGCTCTGATTGACCATCTATCTGAGGATGATAAGTTGTGCTAAAGTTTAGTCGAGTTCCCAAGGCTTCATGCAGAAACTTCCAGAATCTCAAAGTAAACCTTAGGTCTCTTTCAGAAATTCTCGAGACATGTACTCCATGAAGTCGTACTATTTCTCTGATGTACAATTCAACATATTTATCCATTGAATAATCCTCTCGAACTGGAATAAAGTATGATGTCTTAGTCAATCTATCCACAATCACCCAGATCGAGTCTTTCTTACTGGGTGTCAAAGGTAAACCTGTCACAAAATCCATGGTAACTTTTTCCCACTTCCACTGAGGAATGAAAATAGGTTACATCAAACCAGATGGCACATGATGCTCTGCTTTCACATGCTGACATGTCAAACCGATACATCTTATTTCCTCCTGGGTGCATAGTCGAAGGACTATAATGAGCCTTAGAAAGAATACCCTTTTTCAATTCTTCGTCATCGAGTATGGAATTCGACCCCGATAATACAAACATCCATCGGGCTTGATTTCAAAATCTTTCATTTCACTTTTCTTTACTAGATCGATCATTTCTAAACATTTCTTATCTTTGCTACGGTGGTCTTTGATTCAATCTAATAGTACATACATCAACCTCAATTCTGCAACAAGTGAACCATCATTTTTCATTGATAATCAAGCATCTAAAGCTCTCGAAGTAGAGAATACCATTCGGCTAAGTGATGATAGTCAATAACCACATCATAATCTTTTAGAAGTTTGATCCATCTCCTCTGCCTTAAATTCAATTCTTTCTAAGTGAGTAAATACTTTAAACTTTTACGATCTGTATAGCGTGAGCAATCAAAGAGACCATTTGATCATGTGGTGGAAGATGGATGCCAATCTGCTCCCTTGCTGGACAAAAAAGAGACCCGAGCTAAGTCCTAATTTCATTTTTATATTTATACATGATCATTTGCTTCTTAACCCTGCATTTTCGGCTATACGTGTATCGGTACTATATTTATGTATTTTTATTATATTTATAATTTCTTTTACATGAATATGTACTTGTATTCCAGCTCAAGTAAATGTACTCAATGCAACCAAACAAGAAAAATAAACCAGTA